GGACACGGTTGGCACGATGGGACACGGTTGGCACGGTTGGCACGGTGGGACACGGTTGGCACGATGGGACACAGCTGGCACGGTTGGCACGGTGGGACGCGGCTGCCCGGAGACATGGCCCGGCCAGCACCGTGTGGCCGGTACCACGTGCAGGCAGGAGCCGCCACGCTGCGGGGACACGGCCGGTGCTGCCCAGCACGCGTGGGTCATGGCGTGGCCAGCACCAGTTGCGTGCGTGGGTCCCCGGCTCTCTGGGGACACCCCTAGCACCAGCACATACGTGACCACGCCTCTCCGGTGACACGCGTGGGTCGTGGCTCTCTGGGGCCACCGGCACCCGTGTGGCCGCGGGCATCCCCGGGCCCTGGCGGGGACCAGCGCGATGCGCAGCCGGGGCGGGACTCCCGGTGCCCCCCCGGTGCCACCCCCGGTGCCCTCGGTTCCGTCGGTCACCGGCTGCGCGGCGACATCTGGCGGCTGCGGGCGGCACCGCGACCGGGGCCGGGGACACCGGTCCCTCCGGTCCCATGCGTGGGGACTCCCGTGGCTGCGACACCCCCCCCCCCCGGGTTTTGGGGGGCGGCGGGCGATGGGGCGGTGCTGGCGCCAGCACGGCCCGAATTAGAAGGTGATTTTCTCGGCGGGGAGCGGGAGGGGTTTGGGCAGGAGCTGAACCCACGGAAAAGGCCGCGCCGCCTTCCCCCGCGTCTGGGACACCCCGGGACGCACCAGGCAGCGTGCCCAGCCGTGCCGAGCCGTGCGGTGCTGAGCCACCCCCAGCCCACACGGGCTGTGCCGAGCTGCGTGGAGCTGTGCCGTGCTGCATCGAGCTGACCCAAGCAATGCTGAGCCATGCCCGGCCGTGCCAAGCTGTGCCAGGCTGTGCTGTGCCATGCCTGGCTGTGCTGAACAGCACAAGGCTGTGCCAAGCTGTGCAGAGCTGTGGCGTACTGCGTCAAGCTAACACAGGCTGTGCCAGGCTGTGCTGTGCCATGCCTGGCTGTGCTGAACAGCACAAGGCTGTGCCAAGCTGTGCAGAGCTGTGGCGTACTGCGTCAAGCTAACACAGGCTGTGCCAGGCTGTGCTGTGCCATGCCTGGCTGTGCTGAGCTGTGCCAGGCTACACCAGCTCGCACCAAGATATGCCAAGCCGTGCTGAGCCACACAGGGTCACACCATACATGCCAGGCAGCACTGAACTGTGCCAAGCTGTGCCGAGCTGTGCCACTGTGCACCAAGCTGTGCTGTGCCGTGCCAGGCAGCACCAGACCATACCTTGCCATGCCATGCCAGGCACCGGGCAGCCATGGCAGGACCACAGCCGTGCCACAGTGGGCTGAGGTCGCCCGTATGGCTTGGGTCAGGCTCAGGGACCCCCCTACCGCGCTGGGCACCTGAGGCCTCGTGCCAGGACAGGGGATGCAGGGGGTGACGTGGCCGTGGGACTGCCCCATGAGCCCCCCCTCCCCGGGACATTGGTGGCCCCGGACGCCTGTGTCCCCTGCTGCGCCAGCTGCCCCACACCGTGACCTCCCGGCCAGTGTCACCGGGATAATGACAGGGTCGCACAGGGGGGCGGGGGAGGAGCTGGTTTTAAATAACGTGCAAATTGGACACGTTATTTGTGTGGTTTCCTCTGGCTGCGGGGATCCTCCCCCCCCGCAGAGTGACTAAGAGGTGGCAGCCGGTTAGGGGGGACGGTCCCCCCCTCGGTGACTCACCCGGGGTCCCCCCCCAGCCGTGACGTGGGGCTGATGGCCAGGGGCCAACCTTGCTGTGCTCACCTACTCATTAGAGGGGACGGGGGTGGCGCTGTGACGCGCTGCGGTGCCCCCTGGGATGCCCGGGACTGACCCAAGCACGGGGGGGTGCCCCAATGCCTGGGTCCTCACTGGCCTGGGGAGGGGGTGCAAGGGAGAGTGGGGGGCCCAGGGAGGTGACAGGCCTCATGGGGAGCTGTGTGTCCCCCCCCCCCCCCACCGCAAACACAGAAGGGGCAGAGGTGGCACAACGGGATCCCGCAGCCTTTATTGGGGTCAGCCCACAGGCACCGCAGCCTCTCGCCCTGCCCCCCCGAGGGCCACACCCTGCCAAGCCCCACCCCGAGGGGCGCCACACCCCCCCAAACCCCGCCCCTCAGGCCCGAGGGGGGCTGGCAGCCCCGGAGGGGGCCCCGGTGCTCTCCAGGCTGCTGCTGCTGCTGCTGTAGGCGCAGGCGTCGTGGCAGTGCCGCCACCGGGACCCCCCCGCGCCCCCCTCCACGTCCGAGTCGGAGTCGGGGGCCGTGTGCCGCCGGATGCGGGACACAGCCTCCCGCAGCGCCTGGGCGTACAGCACCGG